TCTTATGGATTGCAATGGTGAATCCACCTTTTGGCGGGTCAGCCAAATTATTGCCTCGAGTCACTTAGTGACCCGCAGGTCATAGGTTGCCGACCACTGGTCTAAACCATAAAAACAAAGAATATAGCTGATGTTTGAAAGTTTTGAATCAGAAGCTTTCTAATTATGTTTCTGTGTATTAGAACTTCACGTACCTCAAGGAGGGGTAAGCTAGTAATCCATATTTCTAAATTGTATAATTAATGTGTGCTAAATGTAAAAAACAAGACATATCTAAGTATGAGAGAATATATTTTGCTAAGGTTTGAATGGGCATTTTTATATATTTGTTTTACAAGCAGAAACAAAATAACTTTTGTTATGATACTTCTTCCATCTAATTATTTTTTACCAAAATTACTTAATTATTGTTGATATTGATTACATCTAATTTACCTAAGTTGTTAATTATGTGGTTTGTACACATATATTTTAATTGTTTTTTGTATTTTTTTTGGTGTTTGTTAAAATTTACCATGATTCAAATGCTTGGTATACTAACAACTTTGTCTTCAAGTTTTAGTGTTAGTAAGTTACTTTTGGTTAATGATAGAAAAGATACAAAGCATATGCATCAGGTTTAATTTGTATATTTTATCATAATCATAAAGCCAGTCATTCCAAAAATTGAGAATACAGAAAATAGCTGATATAGAGAGATGACCAGTTATACTAATACAATTCAGTCTGGCTGAGGTTTGGACCACAGTTTTTCTGAGTGTACTTCCACGATATTATTCTCGGTGGTCCAAAGTTATCAAGTGATGTAGCTCAGTCTAGAACGAACAATAATATATATGTGTAAATCAACCTGATGGTTTTGTACCTCCAGTTTATTTTTCATTGTTTTGAATCATATTTCTCTTTGTATGCTTGATATTTCATGAGATTATATACAATGGATGCTGTATTTTTGTTTCTATTAATAATAAAGATAGTTATAATGAATAACTTTTTTGTTTGCTTATTCTTTAAGTGTGATTTGTTTACCATATGTGTTGAAAGAAGCTTATAATGAAGTAGAGAAAAACTTTTATTGGAATTGTTACCGTCACAAGCAACCACAAATCTACAAAAAATATTTCCTTTTGTTATTCATTGTTTTGATCTGTTGGTAGTTGGTTTTCTACCGACCAAAACTGCAGAGACAATAGCTACATTTTGCATTCAAATGATTGACAGTTCTTCCCTCAATAAAATGCATTGTGTAACATTTTGTGTAGATACAAATACTTTATAGGGCTGAAAGAGAAGGGAAATACAAGTTATAATGAATAACTTTTTTGTTTGCTTATTCTTTAAGTGTGATTTGTTTACCATATGTGTTGAAAGAAGCTTATAATGAAGTAGAGAAAAACTTTTATTGGAATTTCTACCGTCACAAGCAACCACAAATCTACAAAAAATATTTCCTTTTGTTATTCATTGTTTTGATCTGTTGGCAGTTGGTTTTCTACCGACCAAAACTGCAGAGACAATAAAAATTACATCAATAAAATGCATTGTGTAAGATTTTGTGTAGATAATACAAATACTTTATAGGGCTGAATAAGAAGGGAAATACAATGTTTTCATTAAACTGAAAAACAATGTAAATCAAGACATGGATGGTGTCTCAGCTGCCTTGCTCCTGTGATGCACAGTTTTATTCAGACTTCTTCTAACTGATTGTCCTCAGATGTAACGGCAATAATTGTGAAAATCTTAACTTCTCTATCTACACTTTCAGAGCAGAAAAACTAAAGTTTTGTGACTTTGTTGATGTTCAATACCAAACTATAAAACACGTTGGTTTTTGCTCTTTTCCACTGTAGAAAGGTTGGTGAAGCTCTTTGAGGGTCTTAAATCTTTCTTTTTATCAGAAGGATCCCCCACCCCCAACACTCCAATGGCTATTCAGTTGAGTGAGGTCTACCCGTGGTTCATTCATAGTCAGCTCTACATCTTCCGTAATGGTATATAAAAGATCAAGGGAAGTAGTAAAAGTATGTTTGAAGTAATAGCCACATTGAAAGAAATTTACCCAACAGTTAAAGAAAGACATGACCAACATTTCATCTCCACTACCATAAAACATGTTCTGAGATAGGATGAAATTTCTGGGTCAGATGTTTCAGTATTCAAATCAGAAGTGGAAGAATTCTATGGTACATTACGAATATCTACACAAATAGATGCAGACACTTTCAAATGAGTTGATGTTTTCCTAACCACCTTTGTGGGAAGAAGTTGAGGTTACTTGTTTGTACTTGGGGGGGGGGGGGGATTGTAGTGGATGATGCAAATAATTGTTGTAAAACCTGTACAAGAGTAGGCTTTGTCACGACAAATGGGTACATTTCTTCAGATAGTGTGAGCATGTTAAACAATCATCGGAAGGTATGTCAGTAGCTGTTTACCATTCCTTCATATTATAGTAATGTGGAAAGAATATTCTCTTTGAACATGCAGTAGACGACGAGGGAAACTGCATGGAAGTGATGAGTACATTGGAGGAGATTCTCCAAGTTTTAACCAGTTTCAAGATGAATTTACGACTTTGTGATTAAACAATACGACATTTTAAAAAAACTAAATCAAGTGAAAAATATTTTTAAAAAACATTGTATTTTTCATTCACAAATAAGTAAAGAAGAATTAAATCAGTAAAATGATTTACAAATTAACCTATAATCTTATGTGTTTATTAATTAATGACCCGCTCCTTTTTCATTCTAATTAATTTCATTAAACCTTATCGGTTTAAATATTTAGATACGTTTGAACATTTTGAAATTAATTTTATACCAACGAAGGTGATTTTATTTTGTTACTTTAGTTAATGGATTGAGAGCTAACTTAAATCTGCTATGCTGACCGAACCTTATGAAATATATTGAGATAATGGCTGAAAATATTGCTATGTACCCAACTGGTAATTCAGTGAATCACAATAGCTATAAGTTTTACTTTTTTGGTTTTATAAGTTACCTTTTAATCATTTTAATTATCTTGTAAATAATTAGCTTAATTTTGATCAGTTCTCGCTAACTTGTCAAATTGCAATAGCTCAAGAAAACTATAAACTTAAAATTTCCAAGCATTATCACTGTACTCAAAATAACTATAAATCCGTTGGCGTTACTAAAAATAGTTGAATACACTCTCCTTTCACTGGACTGCAAAGTTTTTACAAATAT